GCAGCACTGGCAGGAGGTGCAAACCTGTTCTCGCCATGCTGCTTCTCAGCAGTCATTTCTATTCACAGCCATGATAATATCAACTGCTGTACCTTTAAGAAAGTCCCTAAAGAGGAAAGTGATCTCTACTGCTGATACAAAACAGAATTCTTTCACAGGTGAATGTTTACAATTATTTAACTAGGCTTGGGTCTCAGTCTAAGAGAGTTAAATTTAATTTATAATTTTTTTCATTTTACTTGTTTATTATTTTTTACTATTTCACGGTTTCGGAAAACAACATCAGGGATCCCACTATCCCTTCAATCAGCTTGAGATGATTTCTAATCAACAGGTGACACACATACAGAATGAATGCACATGCCACTAAAAACATCATCACAGCAAAACAACACAAGCCAGAAAGCAACAGGCCATGGACCCCATCACCCAACGTCTACTACACCTTCTGTGACTCCCATTTTTGTTCCATCCGCTGCTTTTCATACTGCATCTGACCCACCTTGATTTTCATGCTAGAAAGTTTGGCCATTAAAGACTGGTAGAGAGACAGAGGAGTGAAAGAAAACTACAGAGAAAAAGACAAGCTAAATAACCAAGAAAATAGTATCCATTTATAAAAGAGGTTAGATACAACTCAGAGAAAGGGCAGGTTATGTTCTGTCGGGTGAGTTAAGCCTTGTTTTTAAATTCAGATCGGTGGTGTTTAAATTCAAGAAGGTTTCCAGCTTGGGGGGAAGCTTCATTTACTTTTAAAATACTCTCTTTATCATACATTAAGTAGAAAACATCTTATTTATATTATTGGTCATAGATGAATAGTGGAGTCATTTGTGGTTAACCTGTGAGAAAAACTTACTTTGGTTGATTCAAGCTTTTTTTCATACTGAAGTTTTTCACTGCCCATTTCATTAACTTTCAACCTCAAATCATTGATCTCCTGAATCAGCCCCTGTCCAAGAAGAAAGAAGAAAGTACATCAGGAAAGTGGCAACACAGTTACCTATACCTATAAAGGAGCAGCTTGGAAATCCTAAGAAGTCACCAGTGCCTAGGGTTAACACTGCATGAATCAGATGAGACAAATGGAAATACATGTACCTCCTTAAGAACCAAAGCATGTTTCCATTTAAAACATTCCTTTAAATCCCCAATGCCTCTGCCCTAAGGTGATGGGCTTATGAAAATATAAGGTGACTGCAGTTCTGATTAAGAAAGGTAGCTTGATAACTATTATTTGTCAGATATTTCTATCCTAAAAATGACTCTGCTATTTCATAGAGTGCTATTTAATTCTATTTTATAGAATGCTATTTCATAGCTTAAATATACCATATTCTTTAGTAAAGCCATTTACCTTTTGAACCTTCTCAGTGATATATGGCTATTAAAAAAATTTGTAATTTTTTCCTTTGTCCCCCAAAATATGGATTTCTGATCAACCCAATATGGGAGACTGGAATGAAAATTAAATCCTTTAAGCCCATGAATTCTTAAGATTTATGAAATGGTCTGGAAAATGTTTTATTTTTATTAAGTGAATAATAGGAACATAAGAATATTCAAACTCATTTTAATTTTGAGGACCATTTCAATTATTTTCATATGTAACAGCACAAAGTTTATCAACAGTTTTCTAATTTCTGGGTATGTGCATATATTTTAGCAATAATGTTGAATTTTTATTAGGAGATTATCAGGGATCGAGTTTATTAAAAGTTTGATGACAATTCTCAACTCAAAAGTGGATGAGGGCCCTACTGTTTACCTAATTTTATAATTAGAAAATGAAAGAGAAACCAATCCCAATGCTTACATGACACAACATGATTTTGTGCCTCTTCTACAGCTACTTTTTATTTTATTTTAGTACCACTTTTTAAAGAACCAATTTGCTCATAAAACTTGTCCAAGTATTCTGAGAAGTAGTGGTGTATTTTTGTCCAGGGCCCAGAGAGTAGGAAGGAAATTAGTGTTACACAATATTAACTCCTCCAAAAGAGACACTCAAATACCCTGCATGGGAAATGACTTACATTTTACTACAAGACACAAAGATCCCTACAATGGTTACCATATTTTTGCTTCTTTTTCCTTTTTTTTTTTTTTTAATATACAGTCTTGCTGTGTCTCCCAGGCTAGAGTGCAGTGCTACGATCTCAGCTCACTGCAACCTCCACCTCCAGAATTAAAGCGATTCTCCTACCTTGGCCTCCTGAGTAGCTGGGATTACAGGCACCTGTCAATATGCCCAGCTAATTTTTATATTTTTAGTAGAGACGGGGGTTTCACCATGTTGACCAGGCTGATCTCAAACTCCTGACCTCAAGTGATCTGCCCTCCTCAGACTCCCAAAGTGTTGGGATTACAGGCATGAGCCACTGTGCCCAGCCAGCTTCTCTCTTTTTAAAAAGACATGCAAGTATTTCTGGGTCACAAATTCATATATTACAGGACAAAATTATCCAAGAATGCCAAATATTGCAAGTAGAACAATGTTATAAGAAATACAACTTTGTGAATAGAGATTATTTTAAGCCACCAAGTATAATTATTCAAGTTCACAAAGGCTAAAAGAAGGGATGCTACAGTGAAAAACAGTTCCCAGTAAACCCACAGACTTTAAATTGTGGTCTCTTATAAAATGGGCAAAATATTACCTATCATAGTTATACAATTTCTCCTTAAGAAACACTTAATAATCATACAATATTTCACTTAGATGATATCTATTTTCTTCTTATGAATTAGGTCAAGAACTGTTTAACATTATTCAATAGCATATTTGTGATTCCTCATCTAACAGGTCAGAATTCAAGTTCAAAGAAAAAATCAGCTTTTCCTAGTTTTTGAAACTAATCATCCTTGAATAATATGAGTCCTTAGTCATCTTTATCAATATGATCTTTTAAAATATATATTTTCTCACTTTCTCATTGTTAAGAAATAGCAGTGAATTCCTATCTGCTATTGTTGTATGTTAACGGCTTCCTTGAGAAACAGTGGCAATGTGCAAAGAAGAAACCATGGGAAAAAAATGGAATTATAAACTGGGATAATTTATCTGTTTTAACAAAAACGATTCAACTATATTTCATGGCAGTATTTACATATGGTCTACATTTCCAACCTGAAATAAATCATATCTTCCCCTGACAACACAAGCTAGAAAATCTGGAAATAGCTCCCTAATGTAAAACTTTATAAAATGAAATACAAATTATTTCAATTAATTTCTTATCAGAAGTTCAGTCCTTTTGAAAAAGAAAATCCCTGTTCCTTTTCCCTTTTCCCTTTCAGAGAACTCTTCAGGGCCCTCGCAGGAACTGTCTCTAATATCTATGCTCTTACCAGAAGGGGGCACTGTTGAATGACGCCAACCATCTCCCATTAGCAATTCCAGGGACAAGCAAGTGCTGAATCTTCCAAAGTTTAAGAACTTCTACCCTCAGTCCTTTGGAAATGCCTCTACTTCTTCCTCATGACACTATTTTATCGGAAATTAATATTTAAATAATATAAAAGTCTAAGAGAAAGTTAAATATTATGGATTCATGACACAGCTAGGAAAATATTTTTATTAAGGGAACGATAACAGGAACATGAGAATATTCAAGTTAGTTTAATAGTGAAGATCATTTTAATTATTTTCATATGTAACGTCACTAAGTTTACCGTATAGTCTCTAATCTCCAGTATGCGCATATGTTTTAGCAATAACACTGAATTTTTATTAGAAGATTATCAGGGATTGAGTGTACTAGAAGTTTGATGACAAGATCACTTTAAATGTGATTGGAGAGAGCATGAGTGAAATAACGAGAAAGTGGGGAAAAAAAGTTTGATTAAAAAAAAGCAGCCAGACTCAGGGGATGTAAATATTGCCCTGGGGTCTTACAAAAATAAAGAAATAACACGTCTACTGCAGTTTAGTCACAACACTTGGTTAGCATCTCATATCCAGATTAAGTTAACAACAGATGAAGATTTCCCCTTGACTTTGCAGACACAATGTAGAAGACTACCTCTATCCACATCTACTGTAAATTCTTCCCTGCAGCAGAGCCAGCACCACTGTCATGTGTCCATCTGTTGACAGACTTTTACTATTACCCTACACAGCGACTATGGGGTTATGACCTGACAAAAAGAGGGGAAAGAGGAAAATATCAACAGATTTTTAGAGAAAGCACAAAAGCAAGAATTTTTAATTGGGTAACTTTCTAAGTCTTGTGTTAAGATCCCCAGCTTCGATCAAATGAGAAACATGCTCATATAGGCAACTGACAAAGAGTTTTAAGATTAAAACATGTCTGGGCATGGTGACTTATGCCTATAATCCCAGGGCTTTGGGAGGCCAAAATGAGAGGATTGCTTGAGGCCAGAAGTTCCAAACTAGCCTGGGCAACACAGTAAGATCCCATCTAAAAAAAAAAAAGATTAAAACATGAACCAAATGAATTTTGCCACTGCAGAAACAAGACATATACCAAGACGTTCCACTATAATTGAATCTTTGACAGAAAATTTAATTTTGAAATAGCAATGGAGTAAACCTTCTTATTTCCAGATCTATAAAGGGCTTTCCTATAGTGGATAATGTATGTGATGCCTGGTACCATGCTGGCAAATAGTCAGCATGAAATTCATGTTTGAAATAAACATAGAAGAGGAAAATAAGTAAACCATTTTCTCTCCTCTCTCCGTGGTACCCATTTTCTAATCCAGTGTGACAGCTTCCCATACTCCTACCAAGGAAACAAAATACAAAGAAAAAAGGAGGGGAGAGAGAAGGAATTTCTGCAACTCTTTATACTTCATTTCAAATGAATATATTTCTTTTTTTTTTTTTTCATGATCTGTGGTTTTCTTTGTAATTATCTTAAGTCTTATGATCACACATCATTTTTAAATTTGTGTATATCTCCTCTACTATATTCCTTTTAAGTTGGCAAAAGCACCATTCCCAATCACAAATACACAGCAGTTGTACAGTTTTGTTTCTGAATGGCTGTTTAAAGACAATCCTAAATTATAACTTAGTTTGACTTAGATTGTAAAGAATCCAAGAGTGAAGTTTAATTGGCTACTATTTTAAAAGCATATGACCTTATAGATCATCTATAAAACGTGTGAAGTGTTAAATAATTTTTGATATTACACATAAACCACAAAAAACCTTTCAATAAGTAAAAGGAACCATTTTAAATACAGGGAATTCTAATTAGATTGGCATAATTAAGGCCAAAAATATAAAATAGCCATTGCTACCCATTTATCTTCAACCCTTGCCTTTAAGAGGCAAATGAACACAAAACACAGGTGAATCTTGCTTGGTTCTGAGACAGTGAAGGAATTTCCCCCATATTTAAATATATTCACATAACCAGTTATATAAATCTAAATATAAAACCAATCTCCAGTAAGTTTTAAGATGGCACTCACCATCTTTGTGAAAAATTTAACATTACTAACGAAGTCTAATCATATCTTTAGAAGGAGTAAACAGTGATAGAATTTACTAAATTGGAATTACTATTAAAATCCAAAAACTGAACATACTCATTTAACCACAAGCCAGTCTTAGTTTTAAATAAGGACTGCCCAACAAACTATTCTGTCAGTCATTCATGAAGTAAATTCTGGTGTATGAGATCTATTAAAGTACGGTACACATAAAAAAGTCATGAGACACTTGTTTCGTAATAAATAAGGCAGTGGCCAATTATTACTCATTAGTAGCTTTTTTGAGATAAGCTATTAAGTCTTCCCTTTCTCCCTTCTTCTTAATGCGGACAAAGATCATTTTTGTTCCAGGGATATACTTCTTGGGATTCTCCAAATATTCCATCAGTGTATCCTCTCCCCAGATGATGCCTTTGTTCTTATTGGCTTCAGTGTAAGTTAATCCAGAGGGCTGACCTGTCTTCCGCCCAAAGATACCATGGAGATTAGGTCTAGTCTTGTGCTTGCCTCCCTTTTCCATGGTGTGACTTTGGGAACACTTCTGAATAAAAATCCTCTTGCCTTTCTCAACATCACCCATATTTAATTCTTTTTCGTTGTTAGCACAACAAAGGTTACCGCTCAGAATATATTTCAAATGGATATGCTCTCTCCCTCCACCAACAAAACAACAGAGGTTAAGAACTTGCCAAATGTCACACAGCAAACAAACTAGAAGGCCTGAATTAATAAAATAGAACAAACAGTAAAGCTTGTTTAGCCACTAAACTGGATACTTCAAGTTATAGAATGTACCCTGAGTTTCGTAGAAGTACAGCGAGTCTTATTTAATTAGAATGATTTACACGTGGATTAGACCAAAAATAGAAAGTCAAATTAATAGACATTGAAAAAGCTCTGTGGTTTTGCGATTACAGAATGTTAGCATGTTTTCTATACAGATTTAAAAAATTCAATTATATAGTAAATAATCAGTGTACCTAAATAATAACTACTAGTAAAACCATGCATTTAAGCCCATTATTTACAAAATTAAGAAAACCAGTATGGATGGACAGATGCTCCAAATATCCTAAAGCCAAAAGTATTCTTAAAGGTTGATAAAAGGATTAATATTGCATATCAAAAGTCTAGAAATAAAAATCACCATTAGCATTTAGTGATAAAAAGTCAATATCATCCAAGATTATTCTTAAAATGAAGCAGGATGAGGACACATAGCAATTAACTGCCTTCCTTGTACACCTCCAGGGAATTTCAACTTTTCCCTAGGAATGTATGTGTGTGAGAGAGACAGATAGAGTGACCCAGAGAGAGAGAGAGGTTGTATCATTTACCTCTGTGTCTCTGAACTTATCTTCATAATCCAATCTGTCCTTCTCTACAGCCGTCAGCTTCAACTTCAAGTTAGATATTTCAGCCATCAGATCCAACTTCTGAGTTTCTAAGGATGTCCTACTCAGAAGCTCCTATTGGAATTTAAAAGATACATTCAAAAATTCTTTTATTATGAACAGCCACATGTGAATTTACCTCATTTATGATTGCAAAGCAGCACCTATCAAGTAGAGGGTGTACTAAAATATAATTACTAAATACACACAGTTTTAAAAAATTATTCACTTGAGGCTGGATGTGGTGGCTCACATCTGTAATCCCAGCACTTTGGGAGGCCGAGGCAGGCAGCTCACTTGATGTCAAGAATTTGAGGCCAGCCTGGGCAGTATGATGAAACCATGTCTCTACTAAAAATAGAAAAATTAGCCAGGTGTACTGGCAGGCACCTGTAATCCCAGCTACTCGAGAGGCTGAGGCAGCAGAATTACTTGAACCCAGGAGGCAGAGGTTACAGTGAGCCGAGATCACGCCACTGTACTTCAGCCTGGGCAACAGAGTGGGACTGTCTCAAAAATAAAATAAAATAAAAAATTATTCACTTCAGTTACCTTCATTTAAGCAGAAATAAGCACATGTCAGTTTCCTGAGGGAAACATAAGTTATGTAGATACACATGCATAAACCATATATATTCTTCAGTCTGACAATGACATTGATGATGATGATACTGTTTGCTACATGCCAGGCACCCACTGTGACATATACTGTTTCAATCCTCACAAAAATCTTATCAGGTAGAAATTCTTATTATCCTTAATCAAAGTATGAGAAAGCTTAGTAACACAGAGGTTAGGAACTTGCCTAATGTCATACGAGGGGGAAAAAAAAATAAAGGCACAGCAGGAATGGAAACCTACGAGGTTTTGCTCCAGTGCATCCTCCATCCACAGACTTACGGAGCCTCTCCTATATGTTATAGGTGGTACTCAAATTTTTTCTTTTCTAATTTTGTGGGTACACAGTAGATATATACATTATGAGGTACATGAGATGTTTTGATACAGGCATGCAACATGCAATAATCATGGAAGATGGGGTCTCCATCTTCTCAAGCATCTATCCTTTGTGTTACAAACAATCCAGTTATACTTATTTCAAATGCACAATTAAATCATTATTGACTAAGTCACCCTGATGTGCTAGTAAATACTAGGCCTTATTCATTCAAATTATTATTTTATACCCCTTCACCATCCTCCACCTCTCCCTTGATCCCCCACTACCCTACCCAGCCTCTGGTAACCATCCCCCTACTCTCTAGCTCCATGGGTTCAATTGTTTTATTTTTAGATCCCACAAATAAGTGAGAACATGAGATGTTTGTCTTTCTGTGCTTGGCTTATTTCACACCTAATGACCTCCAGTTCCATTTATGTTCCTGCAAATGACTGAATCTCATGCTTTTTTATGGCTGAATAGTACTCCATTGTGTATAAGTACCACATTTTCTTTATCCAGTCATTTGTTGATGGACCTTTAGGTTGCTTCGAAATCTTGGTGACTGTGAACAGAGCTGCAGCAAACACAACGGCACAGATGTTTCTTCGATATGCTGATTTTCTTTCCTTTGGGCATATATCCAGCAGTGGCATTGCCGGACCATATGGTAGCTCTATTTTTAGTTTTCTGAGGAACCTCCAAACTGTTGTCCATAGTGGTTGTATGAATTTACATTCCCACCAACAGTGTACAAGTGTTCCCTTTTCTCCACATCCTTGCCAGCATTTGTTATTGTCTGTCTGTTGGATAACAGCCATTTTAGCTGGGTGACATAGTATCTCATTGAGTTTTGATTTGCATTTCTCTGATGATCAATGACACTGAGCATCTTTTCATATGCCTGTTTGCCATTTGTGTGTCTTCTTTTGAGAAACGTCTATTCAAATCTTTAGCCCATTTTTAAATTGGATTCTTAGATTTTTTACAATTATCTTTTTTCTTAATTATAAAACATATGCTTATGGGTGAGAGGAAACAATCTGAATGCAAAAAAATGAAAATTAAAATAAGCCACAATCCTATTGACATTTTATTCCGGATTCTAATTACATAAACACTTTATATTGTATGTATATATTTTGAGACTCTGCTACTCTCGATATTTGTTTAAAATGTGCTGGTCTGAAAGAATCAGGAAACTTACTACTGCATCAGAGCAAACACAACATAGAAATGCAGCATCTCAAATAGTTCAGCAGGGAAATCCCATCTTGGTTCTGGCCTCTGCACATACCTGCTGCAGCATCTCTTCTGTGGCATTCAACTTCTCTCTGTGCTCTTCAAGACAAACCTCCAAATCTCGAATCTTCTCCCCCTGAGCCTCCACCTGGTCTGTTAACACACTTACCTGTATTTAGAGCAAAATACTGCAATGAGTGAGAAAGAATTTGAGTCCCACTGCATATGTTATTTCTCTAAGTGGAACAAAAAAAAAAGGAAATGATCCTACCACTCACACAATTGTAAAGAAAACAAAATCTGAGAAATACCAAGAAGACAGTGGTCCTTTGGATTTCTATTTATATGTTGCTATTTAATTTAAGGAGTCCTATATAATTTGGAGAAAATTAGTGTAGATTAGGAATATACAATACTTTTTGGTTACAGCTACTTCAACCGTTTATGAAAGAGAGTATACGCAGAAGTCATCTTTTTGGGGGCCAGGGTGCAGATAGTATTAGAAGAGAGGAAGTTAATGTTTGAAACAGAAATCATTAAGAACTATTAAAATTTGATACCTCAAGAATAATGAGAAAAAGAACCCAGGGGGTGTCAGGCATGGTAGCTCATGCCTGTAATCCCAACACATTGGGAGGCTGAGGCAGGCAGATCACTTGAAGTCAGGAGTTCAACACCAGTGTGGCCAACATGGCAAAACCCCGTCTCTACTAAAAATACAAAATTAGCTGGGTGTGGGGGTGTGCGCCTATAATCCCAGTTACTTGGGAGGCTGAAGTGGGAGAATCGCTTGAACCTGGGAGGTGGAGGTTGCAGTGAGCCATGACTGTACCATTGCACTCCCATCTGGGCGACAGAACGAGACTCTGTCTCAAAAAAAAAAGAAAGAAGAAAGAAAGAAAGAGAGAGAGAGAAAGAAAGAAGAAAAGAAAAGAAAAGAAAGAAAAACCCAGGGAATTCAAGTTCCATGATCTCTTTCAAGGTGACACTGATCACAGATGTGTTCAAAGCCAGGGGCAACTCAATAGACTCAAAGGTCCATGAGGAGCTGTTGGGTTAGTCCTTCAACTCTAGTGCTTATAGCAGACCTTTGAGTTTTTCCTCAATAATCATCACCCTGTAAATATACTTCAATTCATTTTGCTCAGTACATCAAAGAAAAATGTTTGTCAGACATTTAAAACACTATGAAGAAGGAAACTCAAATTTAGCCCACAAGGAGCTAAATTTGTCTTGTGGGCTACTGCTGTGTACAGCAGTGCTGTGTTTTGTCTCAGCCATGGTATCACTTTTAAAATTGAAAAATTACATATATATATTCATATTCAGATTCAGAAATACAAACATATATATTCAGATTTTATACTATATTCATATATCTGAATTTCTGCTATATATTAAGATATATTTAAAAATCAGATCCAGCCAAGCATGGTGCTGCACACCTGTAATCCCAGCTACATGAGAGGCTCAGATAGGAGGGCTGCTAAAACCTAGGAGTTCAAGACTAGCCTGGGCAATGTAACAAGACCCTGCCTCCAAAACAAAAAAAAAACAGATCAGATGACATTGTGCCTGTATTCAGACTGGCCCTGGAAGAGGCGAGGTTGATTAATGGCAGCTCCTTTTAAACTGGGTGTACATACCATCATTCTGTCCCACTCCTCACCACTCCCTATTGTGTACAGAATGGCTTATCATGCTTATTTCTATCAGCAGTCTGGTTGCTGCAAGCATTCTGAATTTGCTAACCCAATTTAAAACAGTCTTCGTTAAGTATGCTGCAAAGAAAGAACAATATTTAAAAATCACTTGCCTGAAGAACGAGGGATTCTTTATCATTTTCTAAACGTGCCAGCCTTTCTTGATACACATCTCCGTTCCCAGGTAGGTGTCCATTAGTCTGAAAAAGGAAATAATACAGGTAAGGCTGATCTTCTCTAAGAATGATATATTGTGGATAAATGAACATCACAAGTGTTCTTAGTCCAAGCGGCCTGAATTGAATCTGGGACAGCTGTCACTGTCAAACAGAAAATAAGAATGCAATTTGGTTCATGTATCACAAAAGAGGGAAGACAGGCATGTTAAGCATATAGGCTTGATTTTGCCAACCTAAACAATTTCTTATTAAGCAGAAAATAATGACCCACAAGGAACAGGAGAAACTGGTATTCTTCACTGAGTGCAGACACACACCCAAGGGTAGGCAAAGCTTTGTGAGTGAGCAGGGGGCACCCCTCGCTGTCAAAGTCTGTATCTCTTCCTCCAAAAGCTTAAACACTCAGGCCACAATGACTTCCCCTGGTAGCGCTGACTAGGCTTACTTATCTGCATTTTAACACTCTGTGTCCTGATCTTACTAACTTCCTGTGAATTTACTTGTTCATATAATGTTACCTTCTATTCCAGGGCAGAGCCTATAAATCGTTTTGTAACCTCCCGAGCATTTGACTCAACGCTCTGCATATATTGATGCTTACTATTTCTTCCCCTCCATCCTGCCCCCACCCTTTTTTAAAAAAAATCATAATTGGGTATATTTATGCATGGTATAAATGCCAAAGGAAGTATAGATTGATAAACAACATACAGATTTTTTCTTCAGCTGTCTCATACGCAAGTCGTGAAAGAGACACACGAAGAGGCTCACGAAGAACAGAAAACCTAAAAACATCATTTTGAAATGTATGTAGTATGCAGTGTCTCTTGTAATCTCAACATAACCATAAGATAAGTAATCCCAATAGAATTT